GGGGGAGGGAAGCCGAGTTCGACACACAGGTACATCTGTACCGTATTGTTGGTGCGTAACAATTAGAAATAGAGAGTTTTTAAGGGAAAAAGACGGAAAACGGTAGCATTAAGTGGTACCGAAAAATATAGTTAGAAAATAAAAATAGCCCAATTCACATGAATTTTAATTTGCCATATGAATGAACGATAGGATGGTACTTCTTAATTATAAAAGAGTCGTCAAAAAGAAAGTAAAGAAAAACCAATGCATCACGAATTACTTTCAACCCTCAATTGAAACTACTTTCACTGCGTTTACAGACCTACTGACGTACCATAACAGCTTCATCACAGAAGTTAAACTGAGGTTCACCAGGCACTAAACTCGACTTATGTGCTGACACCAGTTTTCTTAAGGTAACCATGACATCCTTATATTCCTGCTTGGTGGATCTGTTAATGGAAGAATTGTTTTGACGCATTGTTTGGTTTTGCGCGACAAAAAATCTCAGCAAATTGCGGCGATCAAAAACGACTACGTGAAGAGTTTTAACTCTCACGTTATTACCTCGGCTGCGTTCACACTTGGTCCTTCAGCACGGTGTCTGAGTACGATTCTTGATGAGCACTATTGTGAACACACCTTTTTTTCAAGTACCCACGCCAGAATTCGAGCACTGTAACCGAGCCTGAGTACAAGGTCAGCACTGAGCCGGGCACTTATACATCGGGTGCTCAATGTCTGAACACAGCACCATTTTGTGCTGGTGCCCTGGCACTAATGCTCGGGCACCAAGTGTGAACGCAGCCTTAGTTTAAATAAATAACTAGAAAGTGTTTAGTGTACCTGATGGGATATTTCTCTCCTGGGTCTCTTCCCAGGTGAAACATAACAGGGGAGGTTGTGTAGTTCATTTGTTCGTGAGTTGTAACACCTGTAACATTCTCGCCTGGACAGAAGTCGACCCCTTCCTGTAATAAAAAGGAAAGAACCGATTTATAACATACCACAACAACTGGACGACAAAAGCGTTTTTCAACCGGGTGTCATAAACCCAAACAAAAATCAATCACGACAAACCAGAACAAACATTAACCGGCACCACTAGATCTCGAATTAAAATTTCCTACCGCGCGGGAATACGAGACTAACCAAGTCTTGAATGGTTTTTGATTGCAATCAACTAGGCGCAGTGAAGTAATAGAAAGCAATCAAGGATTATTTGAGACACCCGATTGAAAAGTGCACTCAAAGTTCATGTGAATCAGAATTCATGATCTTAAGTGAAAGCTATAGATATTGATATATTGATTTGCTTTCAAGGCGAGTTTAAGCTAGCGACATGCTGGTGGCCCAAAAATGGGGAAAGATGAGGTACTATTTTAGGGTAGCCGCTAACTCGTGAGTGACTTAATTGCTCCTTGGAAGCATCGCTGAATGATGATGCAAGGTGATGTTAAATGGTACATTTATTTTTTTCTGTAAATGGCAAGTGAGCCAGATTTAATCACTGCCTTCATTCAGAGCTGTTACTTTTTCGAGTAATGTGAAGAGCCAACTGTACCCAGGTAACCCCCATGTGGGTTATAAATATATCTCTATATTAGAGGTGTTCCGAAAATACATCTAAAAACACATAAGAAGATTACAAGAGTGAGAGGTGGGGTAAAAAGTTTGTGTCTCTTGAACTTCACGGAGGCGCATGCTCCTTGGAAAAGGGGGGCTAAAAAGAGGACAAACACGATATAGGGGTTTCATTCACTGGCGGTCTACGCGGTCAGTTGAGTCTACGCTGTCAGTTGAGACTACGCTGTCAGTTGAGCCTACGTGTTTGTCCTTCCTGTTTAGGTTTCGCCTTTCGCCTAAGCCACCTATTATAGAATCAGCAGCCGCCTATAGAAAAAGTTATTGATACCCCTCAGGATCACAGTGATCTTACATGGAATTCTTCCCAGCTATTAGACCAAGTCCAGTAATGGGCCTTGTACAAACCATATCTGATTGCCATCATCTCATCACCACGGTAGAAAAAAATAGGTCTGAGGACAAATGAAAAACACAAGGTTAATATGCGTGAGCTACTTAGAGTCTACCGGAAGCTACCTCTACGGTTAAGAAAAAGAGGTCCAAAATTGTTCGTAAATGACATACATACCCGTCAAAACCTTTAGAAAATAGTAACATCTTTAGAAGAGATATAGGTCAAGCAAGCACTCATGTTTGTCTAAAGACAGTCAGATAAGCGGTTGAAGTGTCAAGATCAAAAGTAACAAACTTTTTGAAGAGCCTCCACTTACCAATGCTTGATGTATAGATCAGTTCGAAGCTTCAGCTTCCCCCCAGGCAACTCCCTCCCAGCTTTTAAGGATTGGTTAGTTCAAATTTCCACCCCCCCCCTCTCGTGCAAAAGCTTATATTGATCAATTCTTTGTGTGATCAACCAACGTTTCAGAATATAGCATAGTTTTTGGTACCGCTGTTTGGTTCTTCGCTTGTAAGCACGCTCTACTATGTGAAAATTTTCTTATATGCCACTTGCTTACAAAAAGAGAATCTTAAACTTTAAACTCCTTGATTATTTTACTAATTCAAATTTCCCACTCGCAGGGCGCGGACGAC